TTGCCTCTCCTCCAGCACTGCACACTCAACAGATGCTACCAGAGCCAAATTGCTCAGTGAAAATTGGGCTCCTTTAAGCCACAGGATAAAGAAAACCAACCCCAAGTTGGAAGTCACAGGCATCAAACAGCTACATGCCAACACCTCAAACTAAAATGTACTAGAAAAGTCAGTTTAGTTTTACCAGTCTTTTTTTCCAGCTAATTTCAGTGTTCCTTCATAGCAGTATCCCAAATCTCATGTGGCAGTGGGGTGTACAGGGCTGGACTGTTGCTTGCCTGATCAAATGCACTGATGGCAGCTAAATTTGACAGTAATTCCTCATGGTAATTCCACCTGTTCCTCCTAATGATCACTACCATCCTGAACTCCAGGCTGGAGGTCAGTTGTAGTTTTATTTCAGGATTGTATGCCTTTAGCCACCGTGCTGGAATTCCAGCAGCAAATGTGAGGAGTGAAATGCACAGCCTGGCACAGCTCCAGGATCCAAGCAGTGATTTGCATGATGACTTTCTCAGGCTTTAGCCAGTTAATACTCATTAGCTATTAGCAGGAGGTCGTTTGTTATCAAAACAGGAGCAGAGAGATGTAACTACCACTGCACACACCAGCAGTGAGCAAACAAATATGTCATGTTCCCTGCAAAATGATGAAAGGGGGAAAACACACCCCAATTCCCTTTAGAGTCCTCTGAGGTGAAACTCAGGATGACTCGACCCAACTCAAAGGAGCACCACAAGGAAGGACAGGTGGAAATATGAGGAGCCAAGCACAGAGAGGGTTCAGTAACTTAACATGTGTGGTACAGAGAGTCACCCAAGGTGTGGAATAAACCCCTTCTATCCTTGTATCAAACCTCTGCACATTTATAGCAGAGTTTTGCCTGTGACACCAAGCACTGAGTGGGTTTTACCTGTAAAAGGAGACAGCAACTCCCCTGGGTAATATTCTGAGACTGTGACAAGGCCAAGAGATGAAACTGCCTCTCGTGTGCAGGATACACCTCAGCCATCCTGCACTACTCCATGTTGTAGCTGAGTCTTTGGTCACAGGCAAGCAAAACTGCTTGGTTTGATTGCTCCATGTACCTGGAGAGGACAGATCTGTTCTTAATGTGATGCTTTAAGCTGCTCTTCCAAGATTAATCTGACCTTCTCCCCACTTGGCCAGTCTCCCTTAGCAATGTTAAAACACACTTTTACAACACCCAAGTGTCTGTAGCTCAAAACACACAGACACAACTCCTGGCCTGATTTTAGTTGCAGGTTCTCCTCTACACCTTTTTTGCAGAGGGTTTGGCAAGGAAATGTCAGTTTGAAGGTCAGAGTGTGGGAGCTCTACATCTAGCACATTTCAGCTCTGCACAGAACATCCATGACCACAAACCACCACTGAAACAAAGGAAATTGAATCTTCTCCCCCAGCGTCTCAGCAGACAGGCAAGGAACAAGAAACCACCTCCAGAGTCCTAGGGGTTTTTCAATAAGCATTTTTAAAGCACAATGAGATGAGGCCATTAAAAATGCATCTCTTTCCAGCCCTTATCCCTTGGGAACGGATGTGTGTTGGGATTTGGATAAAAGGGTATACTGAGCTTCAGCTGGAAGGATGTTCTTGTACCTCCTAGTCCCCCAAATCCACTCCTCATCTCCCAAAACCCCAGGAGCTGAAAGCAGGTGTGCTTAGGAAAGCCCTAGTACAGGAATCATAGAGGTTCCAAGTTCCTGGAAAGGAGTTTGAGTTTCCACAGGGTCCCTGTCCAACTTGTTAGCACAAGGCTCATGGAAAGACCTATCCCATTGCTGATCCCACCAAAGCTTCCAAGTGCCACAGTCCCTGACCCACACCTGTCCAGTTCTGCCAGTGACCAAAACAACATGGCATGGCAGAGCCACCACTGGCAGTAATGTTTAACTCGACCCAGCACCTCCCAGTACCTGGCAATTTGGGAAGACTGGACTTTTCCTCTTGCTTTCCAAGCACTCTTGGAGCTGACACTCATAGCTCTCCTTTCACAACATCATGGGATGAAGCCTCTAGTCACCTGCAAGCTAAAGAACTGACAGAAATAAGTGCTTGGAAAACAGCAATGTTTATTCCTAACAGCATTTTTATCTGTCTCAACAGCTTTTTTTTCCCTCCCTCTCCTATACAAGTCTACATGGACAGAATTTGGGCTGTGGCATGAGTCTCACCCAGGGTTTGGAGGCTGCCAAGACCTGCAGGACATGAATGTAATCACATTTCATCATTCACAGCACTAGAATCATCCCACCCCTGGTGGTTTTGAACATGGCATTTGGAACATCCCTGCCCTGCTCTTCCAACCTTGGCAGGATTTACAGCAAAGGCCTCGTGAACTCAGATTGACCTGCACAGACTCCAGGTCTTTTGGGAGTGCAAGGAATTCCATACAAGGTTGAGGCTGTGGCAGCCCAAACCCTGCACTCCCCACAGCTGCACACATGCTCCCAGGACAGCTTCTTCCTTGTTTGGGCAAACCTTTCTGCAGGCACTGTGCATCCCAGTTCAGCTCCTGCTTCCCTGAGTTACACTAACAGCAGTTTCAGATCAAACAACTGGCAAAGCCATCATACATCATCTTTCCTCAAGGTGCTGCAGCACTGCCTTTTCCCCCACCATTACAGTGATTTCTAGCAGCCAGAAATGCCATTTGAGTTCTGCCTAGTGACAGTTCAACTGGTTCCTAAGGCATATTGGCATAAGAAGCACACAATTCCCACTCTGCATGTTTGGGGGCTAAGCTTATTAAAGGGGAATAAGCTCATGTTGTCTTCCTTCCTTTCATCTCTCCCTCGTGCCAGGGTAGCATTTCAGGATGAAAAGAAATCCCAATGCACTCAACAGCTTGTACAACACCATTTCAGTGGCACACAGGCCAGGGGCATGATTCCTGCAGCAATTAGCTGCAAAGCAAAGTATTCAAAACTACACCCGAGTTCATCAGCTCCTTCTCTTGCTCACCAGACTCCTAGAGCTCCAGATTTACAGCACTCCAATTTTCCAAGCACAGATTTCTGCAGGAGCATGTGTTCCTCCACACTCTCATTGCTTGAGAGCACACTCAGCAGACTGAGAGCTTCTGATTCAAGCTCACCTGTGTGTATATGCATGAGCATCACTTGTTTGAAACCCACCCATCAAAAGGGCACAGATTTTTCCATGATGGATAGTAAAGCCTTGGAAATAAGGCAAGAAAACAGAGAAGAGACCTATGCAAAGTTATCACAGGTTTGGCTTTTCTACAGCAACAGGTGATTTACCTTCATGTTGCTCCTTCTGGGTCACAAACAGCACATTACTATTGTACTACCTCATATTATTCCTTACCTATGTAATCCCTTAGTGATAAAGACACTCTTAGCTTACACACAGGCACAAAAAGGGTGAGACAACACTCCTGTCAAACACTGTCCGACCTCCCGCTAAAATCCAGGGTGTTAATCACCTGCTGGATCCAGCTGGGACACACCTGAGTCCAGAGCCAGGTCCTCACCCCATGTGTCCTGTTCATCCCCAGCACAAAGTCCAAGGGGGAAAAGGTGGCAGCACCAGGGAGGTGCTTGCAGAGGATGCTGTCCTGGGGTTAATGAAGTGAGACAGGCGACAGGTGAGGAGCTTATGAAACAGATCGATTATTTTTCATTAGAAAAACCAGCCCAATACAACCTGTCAGAAGCAATCAAGCCTTTGGCTGCAGACTGAATAGTGACTAGCTCCACTCATGGACTAGTCAGCACACAGCAATCAGTTACCTGAGGCACAGGGTGGAGGGGAAAAACCCCACAAATCTGAAACACTTGGGAAAAACCCTATTTCTTCTTGTCTACCTACCCTCTCTTCTGAAACTGGTGCTCCAGACCAGAAACTCCTAGACATCAGCATGAGGGAGCTAAAAACTCCTCACTCTACAACTGAAACTCATGCAGAACAAAGGAACGAGGAGGAAAAGTGTGTTCAGGTGGATATTCAAGCGCACTGGCATTGCTTTTTCCACATACAACCTAAGTAAGTCTCCTAAGTCAGGATGGAACCTTCCTTTACACCCCAAAGAGAATTTCCTGATCCAACTCACATAATCCAGAACCTACCAGCATGGCCTAACACGACCCTGCCAAACACCCTGACTGGCAGCAGTCAAATGCTTCACATGGGAGCTAAAAGCATTTCCATGCAGATGTATCTCAGCAACCCCTCAGGAAAACAAGCTCTGCCTCCAGTAATAGGAATGATTTAAAGCCACAAACCGTTCCAGATTGGGATCAGCTCATCCCTCCCATAAATAGCCAAACCTTTCGGGAAACATCTTATAATTGAGGGTGCAGTGTGACTAACATATGATTAGCAACAGAGCCCCAAAACCAAACAACCAGGAGAAATTCTCTTTCCAAACCAGTGCAGGTGGGAAGAGCAGGAGCACCACCTCCTGGAAAAAAACGGGATAGAGCTCCTGCTCGCCTGTTTACACTCCAGAACGAGGCTGGAGGAAAACAAGGGAAGCAAACAATAAGTCAGAGCATGAATGAATCAGCCTGAAGGAAGTCGGTTCACATTACAAGCACAGCCAAGCTAAGTCACTGAGCCCATCAAGAACCATAGGAAATGGACAAGGAAGTGACACTTGGACTTTGGAGCTTCATCCCAAAACATTTGGAGCACAATTCTGCCCAGGGTGGTGCAAGCAAACCACTAACTGCTTGGATTCTCTGAGAGGCATCACGTCAGTCATGCAGAGGTGAAACTGCACGAGCAGAGAGAGGAGGGGCATGGTCACTCCTCCCACAGAACACATCCAATTTTTCCTTACAGACAGTTTTCCTTGGGTTTGACAAGATGCTCGTTTGGGACCATGTTTCACGCTACACAGAATTTACAAATGAAAATCACAAGTTCCATTTATTTCTCCCTTTCAAGTATGATGTGAGTGACACCATTTGCTTTCCAAGCTTGATCATCAGCTCTACAGGAAATGAAAGACATCAGGTACTAACAGGGTTTTGGACAGGTTTTTCTTCTTCAGCATCATCACCATCATCTGCATTTTCTCCTTCTTCTTCTACTTTCTCTGCCTGAGGTAGAATTCCATCAGCAAGCCTTCACTGGTTGAAGATCTGATGACCAGCTTCCGCACAATAGGATCTAGAAGACAGAGAACATCACCAATCTGGTCACTCTACCCTTTTTCACATCCCCAGGCTGATTTATCTCAGTGCTAATCCCTTCTGTGTCAAGCACATGACCAGAACCCCAAGAAACACATCCCTCAGCCCAGAGTTAACCATCCTCCCTGACCATTAGACTGAACTAACCTGGTGCAATTCACTTTGAAACCCACTGAGAACAAAGCCAACAGCCCTTTCTGCAGCTATTTATTACACTCAAGTCAACCAACCCCTTCTCCTTTCCATTTAGCCTGCTCAAGGCATGTGTGTGTGGCTTTTCCTGGTCTGGTCTCTGCAGCCACTATCAACAGCATCACTGGGAGAGATGCAGGACGATTCTTCTGGCAATTAGCAAAGTGTTAACACAAAGTTGTTTCCTTAGCTTGCACAAGGCTATTCTTCCCTGAAATGCTGTTGATGAATCACCACTTCCTCTCCAGCTATGCAGTGCCCCTTGTTTAAAGCTCACATCATTACTCCTTTGTAACTCCTTTTGCTAAGGAATTAAAAGCACATTAATAGCTTTTCCCTTGGAGCAGCATAAACTTCAGGAATGGCTTGAGAACACAAAGGTCATTTAATGACAACCTAGCAAAACCTCCCATTTTCAGTTCTGTTTGCTCCAACTCCAACTGGCTCTTTAGCCCACAGCTCCTTACCATAGGTTGATGGCTTGAAGGTGCAGATGTCATGGATTATTGTTTTCAGGTTGGCAATTATGTGCTCAGTTGGCATATCCAGCTGGAAGAGCATAATACCAAGTTAGTCATGGTGACAGATGAATCTTAGATTAATAATCTGAGAACACTGGGAAAGTGGTAACTGTAACAACACAGATCCTTAAAGGGCTAACAAGTCTCAAAAATGAATCTGTGTACAATGTTTTGGCAAAAACCTTATTACAATGAAGCCTTTGAGGGAAGCAGCAGCTGCCAAAGACCACAAAAAGGATCATCTCAAAACCACTCTAAAAACAGAGGCAGTAAGAACCTGAACAGAACCAAGTGAATCAATCCATCAGGAAGAAACTCTTCCCTGTGAGGTGCTGAGGCACTGGATGAGGTATCCCAGAGAAGCTGTGGCTGCCCCACCCCTGGAGGTGTTCCAGGTTGGATGGGGCTTGGAGCAACCTGGGCTGGTGGGAGGTGTCCCTGACCATAGCAGGGGGTGGGATGAGATGACCTTTAAGGTCCCTTCCAAGCCAAACCACTCCATGATTGTGTGATTCCCTGGGATCCCTCACTCATAACGACATCTAGGAGCATTCACTCCTAACAGACAGGATCTGCAAGTGGCTCTGAGCAAGTTACGACGTCTTACAAGGCTCCGGAAGCACATTATGAGACAAAATGCATCTCTGAACTTGAAGACACAAGTTAATGTCTCCATTTGTTCAGACAGGAAAGTGGGACAGAGTGACTTGCATGACACATCCTAAGAGATCACCTGCCAGAGTTTCCTGGAGGTGCTGACAGCTCTATAATGATTACAGGTAATGCTTACAGGCTCCAAGGATCTCCAAATACCTTCCACATCCACAGAAATATTCCCAGCATCCACCTAAGCATTCCACAGCAAATCCTTGTGCCCACACAGTCACAGTCACCTATCTCAGTGTTCAAAGCTTTGGGCACTTCTCTCTAGAGCAGCACAAAGTGCTGTAAAAGGTTCAGGGAAGTTACTGGCTCCCCTTTTCCCCTCAGTTTGACTCCCTCCATATCAGGATGCAGAATTCCAGCTGCACACAGAAGTATATGCACTTCTATTCCAGTCAGATGCAAAACAAGGAATGACAAATGAGCTCACAGCTCTGTTTTCCAAGCAGGTACCTTTTGTCTCCTCATGTTATGAGGAGATTTACCTTCTCCACCTCTTTCACCTTTTTACCACAGCAGGACATGTCAGGAACACAACAAATAAGTAACTCCCAGTGGTAATTTGAGCAAGATCCCTTAGGAATGTGCAACAACACTGGAACAGAACCAGATTTTCTCTTCATTCCATGCTTGATCCTACCATACCCCAAAAACTTTGTCTTCAAATGCCTCTAGACAAAATGTGAGCGATTTAGCATATTAAAAATAGTGTATTAAAAGCCATTTTGGAACTTCTTTAAGGAAAATTTTCTGGTATAATTTATACATATAAATTCCTTCCTGGTGTCACATTTGGACTCTGATTTTCCTCAAGGCAACTCCAGCTTGGGAAGAGAAAGTTGTGTAATGATCACCACCCCATGTCTGACCTCAGGTCAGGTAAAACCCTCAGCAAAACTGTGTGACCCACTGCAGCTCTGAGGGAGAAACCCTGAGTGTCCTCACTCCTCTCCCTTCTGCTTTACACTCTGTGTTTTCAAAGGGTATTTGCCATTCTTAGTTCCACAACTAATTAAACTTCACTGCTGCCAACTTCTGGGCTTTCCAAAGACACCTCCATCCCTGCTGGGGCTGCTGGCTGACATGGGAGTGCTGCAGGACATGAAGCCACTGTGAGCTCAGAGGCACCGTGAGACAGCAGCACTCCAGGGACAACATCCCTGAGAAACACCAGCTTGGCACAGTCCCAGGAGCTGTTTGGGATGCAGCAATGGATCTTCCTACTCCTGTGCACTTCATGAATTGGTATTTTCTCTCTGGCAAGTCGTAAATTGGAGCAGCCCTTGGTGTGGTGGCGAGCAGATCCACCCAGAAACAGAACTAGGTCAGGGGGAGGAGAGTAGCTGGGGAGGGTGGAGATGTCTCACACCGGCCACAACAACTGAGTCAGCCCCTGCACACAGCAGTGTGTTAGTGTCACCTCTGTCACACATCAGAGTTCCTCCTCCACCTGGACTGCAAACCTGGTTTTCTTCCTGACTACATGACAAGAAACTTCACAACAAGTTTCATTTACAGGAATTTTTGAGCCTAAATTTTTGAGGAATTTTAGAGGATAAAATGCTGAAGGTTTAGGCCATCCAAAGCAAGGATTAAAGGCTACAGTTCAACACTTGAAACCAAGACTGCCCTATGGATTTGAAGAGTTTCATGCAGTTCATGAAACTTAAACAGCTAAAGACACTTCCTGCCTGGATCCAAGTACCATAGAGAACACACTCAAGCAGAACAGTTCCCAAAAACTCAGTTTTGGGAATCATATAGCTGAGGAAGCCCTTGGAATTCGCATGGACAACCCAGAGCAGCTACCCAGAAGCAATAAATGTGTTGATCTCCAATACTGGCAGGCAAAGCTTCAGGAGCCAGGTATTGTGTACCCTTGTTTGGAAAACCAAACATCAGGCACGATCACAATGGACAAAGAGGGGAAACAGAAATCAACCACAGTTTGGGGCACAGAAAGTAAATCAACAGGCAAAAATTAATGCTGGGTTTCAGGTGTAACACAAACAGTTGGTGCTTTCTGCTCCAGCCCAGAACTCTGGTTACCAAAATTAAATGTCTTTAATTCTTAGGTTACAGCAAAGGGTTTTTTTTTCCTCTTGTTCATATGATCATGGATTTATACAGCCAGAGTTCATCTACTCAAACAGAAGGGCTCAGAGCAGCTGAAGGTGTCACACAACAGGGAGCTCCACTTCCTTCACGGGAACACAGTTAAAAGCCTTGGGGGAGAGATGGAAAACATGGTCTTCCTCTTCTTTTAATATCAACCTCAGGTGTGCTCAGGAGACAAGACTCAAGCACTCTCCATAAAACTCACCCTGGCTATTCTGGTCCTGATGATCCTCTCATCCTCCACTGCATACTCGTGGCATTCCCTGAAGAGCTGCAGCATTTTGGGAATGTCAGTGCCCAGGGAATCTGGTTTTTGAAAGAAAAGGCAAAAAGGTGCTCTGAGTGATGCTGAGCAGCATGGATAAGTGTGGCACTAGTGAAGGGGTAACTCAATCTTCCAGCTAAGGCCATTGAAGTCCACTCCAAAGTGCAGCTTCATCAACAAGACAACAATGTCCTCATATCTATCTTCCCAGAAAGGGTGATCAGACACTGGAATGTGCTGCCCAGGGAGGTGGTGGAGTCACCATCCCGGGATGTGTTTAAGCAGAGACTGGACGTGGCACTCAGTGCCATGGACTAGTTGCCTTGGTGGTGTTAGGTCATGGGTTGGACTCGATGACCTCAGAGGTCTTTTCCAACCTGAGTGAGCCTGTGATTACATAAATAGCTTCCATCTTCCCCTTTCATCAGGATTAATGAGCAAGGCAATTAATACGGGCAACTAGGAGGCAAATTTATCTTCATCTACCCCCAGACTTGCCTGTTGTAGGAGACAAGCACACACGACCACGACCTAAGGCAAAACAAGTTGCTCACTCACAAACTCTCAATCTTTAACTCTACATCCTCATCAAACCCCATGTCAGTGACACCTCTGGGGCTCAATCTTCTTCAGCCACTGAGGTTTGTGAGAAGGAATTGCCTCTTACTTTTCCTGGTGGTCGGGTACTTTCGCTTGAGCTTGTTCCTCAGCGGTATGAGCTTGGGTATTATGGCAGGAACAGCTACGTAGAAGTCTGCTTGGATTTCATCTTCCAGGATCTGCAACAGGAACAATTCCCTATGTTCAGCACACAAACTGACCTACAAAGGTGTCTCAGCACACAAACATCTCTCACTCTTCACACTGGCTGCTGCCTCCAAGCCAGAGCTCACTGCACCATCAGCTTCTTCCCCTCCCCAGGCCTCAAATCCTGTTTAAGTTGGGATATCTAGGGAATTATTAAAGAAACTCAGTACCCATTTGATTAATTCGACTCCTCCCACGACAGCAGCTCCATGCTCTCGAGCTATTTCAGCCTCTTGCTCATTCTGTTGAGAGAAAAAACAGACATAAACAACTCGGCTGCCCATGAGCCTGGAGCAAAAGGCTTCAGGGCTGTAAAAGTTTTGGCTCAAGCTCCTGCTCCAAGCAGATACTCAGGATTCAAAGCCAGGATGGACTTTTCCTCACAAAAAACAAGGGAACAGCTCCACACTTGCACCTAAAAACACCAGCAACTGTTTCAGCCACTCAGCCTTTTCCCAGGTAACACCTTCCCAAAGCACAGGATCACCTGAACTGGAGGGAAGAGAGAAGGTTGGGAGGACCTGGCACACAGCTCTCTGGGATCATCTCACACAAATACACAGAGGTCTGTTCTGTTGGAAAGATTCACTGGCAAGGGAGAGCTGCAAGAGCTTGTTGGGCATGTAAACCACATGAAAACAAAGCAGTTCAGGCTTACTCACCTCTGTGAAAACCAAAACCTTCTTCACTTCATCTGTAAAGCGATGGGGGAAAACCACAGTGCTGGCAAAAGGCTCCACTTTTTTCTGGGAAGTGAAGGAAAACCATTAAAGCAAACAAAAAGAAGTCATGGCTCGAGGGTGAGTTACACAACCACAGGGAGTTGGGCCCCTAAATCTGAAAGAAAACCCAAACAAGGTGATGAACTGAAGTTTGTAGTTAAACTTCCCCCTGTAACAACCACCCCAGAGCAGAACACGCCAAGGTGCGTGGCCTAAATCATGGGAGTGGGAAATCCAAAGGCATTTAAAGCTCAGTTTGAGGGGGTGGGATGAATTTTAACCACAGATTAGCCTGTTTTTAAACCCCTCCATGGTGGGGTCAGCACAGAGGTGGCTGTCACTGCCTCCACTCATGTTGTGCTATTCGAGGGACAACACATGAAGCAATAAGAAACAAAATGAGCAAGTGTTTGAAACCAATTCCATGACGTCCCCAGCTTTGCTGCTGACAATCCTTAGGCTGTGACCCTGCCAGAACCCCCCAAAATCACCTCAGGAGTCTGAACCACTGTAAATAGGACACAAAGCCACCTGTACCAGGTGACCTGTGACCTGCTCTGCCCTCAAGAACACCTCACAAAGTGCTCCCAACTCCCTTCCAACACACCTTCTTCTGTAGTGCCATGTCTAGGAACACATTGATGTACACAAACTGCTTGGGGTGAGTGAAGTCCAGCTCCTGGAACTTCTTCAGCATGCCCACAGCCTGCTCCACACCATAGGAGGGTCGCTGGTAGAGCCATGTCAGGTACACATCATCCACAGGTTTGACCATCAGTGGCCTCCGAGGGGTTCGTTTCTTCTTCTCCTCCTGTTTGTCCCTCTGGGCACCTCTTTTGGCAGGTCTGAGACCAGAAGAACATGGTTAGATATCTCATCAATGAAGGGTCTGGCATACCACAAACATGATGTGTCATGTGTCACTTGTACCAGTGGGTTAACAAAGAAAGTTCTAGACCAGGAGGATCATCCCAAACCTCATCCCTGGTACTTGTCTCTGATGGCCAAGACAGGAACGAAAAGCTCTGAGGGCAATGATGCTCCTCAACCCACACAGCCACATTTGCATGGAACCAAGGGAAGGACCTTCTGCTGCAGCAAAGCCAAACCAGTTTAGGAGGAATACACCAGCTGCTACTGGCCTTGCCTTCACATGGGCTGGAAGAGATTCTCGACTTCTAAGCTGGGAAAATCCCACTCAGAAAATCATCAGAAGGAACAACCAGAAGGTTTTCACTGTTCCAATGGGTCATGGCTGTCCCATCCGATTCAAATGGTTTCTTCTCCTTTCCCTGTGGCATTTAACCTGTTAGCAAACACCAATCCCAAACTCCATTCTCCTGTTTTCCAAGGGTCTCAAATCAAGGGAAAGACTACTAAAGCAATAAAAAGACACTCCACTCCTCCCTAAGCAGAGCCTGCAGCACTCCAGAACACTCAATGCACAGCACACCTCACTCTCCTGCACACAGAGCTCGTTGTTCCTCCTCCCTCTCATGCTGTGCTATTAAAATGACACCAAATTAAGCAATAAAAAGCAAATTGAAGAGGAGCAAGTGTTCGAAACCAATTCCATAACCTCCCCAGCGCCCGTGCTGCTGTGACCCTGCCAGAACCCCCCAAAACCACACCTCAAAAACACATCATTTTCTCCCCATAACCACGACACTCTTTACTACAGCAGAACAGAAAACACTCCTGCGAGCCCAGCTGGGATCCCCTCTCTCCAGGCTGCTCCTAGGAGCGTGTGGGATGCCACCAAGACCCACAAGGCAACACAACGGGATCAAACACACACACACACACGCGGGACCC